ACTCGGGGTTCTGGGTGGGAGGGGAGGGGGAGAGCGCGAGAGAGGCCGAGGTCCTCCGTCTGCGGTGGGCGCGGAAGGGCGGGACGGCGGCCGCATCGCTCGCTCGCTCTCCTGTTACCCGCTGTCCTCGCCGGGTCCTGCCACCTCCCTCTCCCCAGATCGGGCCAGGTCAGTACCTCGGGGTTAGAGCCAGCCCTGGGCTGGAGCGGCCGCGGGTGGTCTTGGATAGCGGCCGCTGCAGTCGGGGATGTGAGCGGAGAAGAGCCTGGGGACCTCTCGGCTCCGGCTTTTCGGGCCTGAGGCGGAGAAGTGCGCGCAGCCTGGGCGGAGGCAGTGATGCTGCCGCCGAGGCTGTAGTGCAGCCGCCTCCCGCTCCCCTGGGCGAGGATGAAGGCCGAGCGTCGCTCGTCCCGGCGGAGGGGCGTAGGAGGAGACCGGGGCAGAGGTCTCCCTCTCCCGCGGGGCAGTATGCAGAAGGCGCCCGCGGTCCCTGCAGGAGGACGCTTGTTGAGCGGGCGTAGCCTCAGCGAGAGACTCAAGTTCACGCGTCTCCAAGGGAGCCCCTGAAGGAAAGGCGCTGTAGTCCTGGGCAGAACACGCGTCCTCAGTTCGACTTGAAGGTGACTTTTCAAGACCCACCAAAACCAGGACCAGAGTTTTGCCTTGATTCAGTGCTTGGCATCTCTGGGTAATGGAAAAGTAACCTTTGAGTCAAGCTCGGCTCCTAGTGACTTCGTGGACACATCCATGTGATTTCCTTAGAGTAGGACTGGAAAGCTCCAGCCTGTCAGTGCAGGCAGTTTTGAGCAAGATGGGCCATCTTTCTTGAGTGTTACAGCTCTGAGCAGTGGCTCCATTAACTATGACTGTATGTAAGAGTGTGTGTGTGTGTGTGTATGTATGTATGTATATATACATATAAAAATGTAAGCACATATTAAAAAGCCTCCTTCAAGTTGAGCATGGCTCCATGTAGTTTTCTTGCAATATTGTGTGAACTCTTTGATATTGCTTTCTGTATATTTGTTGTTGTTGTTAATCTCCCATCTCTCTATAGCTTGGGTATTCCATAGAGTTCACCCATCCCAGTATTAATCTGGCCCAATTCTTTCCTAACCTTCCAAACCCAAACATAGGCAGCCAGCTGTTGCCATCTGCTGGGGCTATATACATCTGTATCATTAATAATATTGAAGTAGGAGACATACGTTGCTTTTTAGCTTTGTTATTTTGCATTCATGACAAGAAAAAAAACTTAAGATGTCACTATGTTTTTAGAAGTTCTCCTGATAAATACTTTAAAAATGTCCTGCTTTTCAGAGATACTTCTAGTATAATAGATAATTTAAAAAGCTTTTAATCTGACTGGCAAATAATTACATAAACTAATCATAGTTTATTTCCCCCTGCCTTGTATCCAGAAGAACTTATTTGTGCAGCCTTTTTTTCCTTAAACCACTTGCTGCCATGTGGAGAATAATTAACAGCATTGACAGAATCCTGGGAAAGATATAGTTAATTCCCTGTTAGAATGCCCTCATACTAGGAACAAACTATCTTTGCAGCTAAACAGCTGATGAGGTCATGCCAGGTTTGTGATTGTCCCCATCTGTCTCATGAATTGACAAGGACTTTGTAGAACCTTGGAGAAGAATAGGATATATGTCTTGTAACTGAATTGATCATAATTCCATGGCTTGATCACCCCAATATTCAAGTAAGGCAATTTGGGATATGTAAGAAGGCACTCTTGAAAACACCAAACTGTTGAAGAGGTAGCGGTAAACTGTTCTTCACCTAAGAAGCTCCATTCTCTTTCTGTCTGTGATGTTCATGTGTGTTCAGGACGATTAAGGCATACTTGTAATTTTCAGTGCTGCTCAATACTTGTTTAATATGGATGAGTTGCTTTGATTTAAATGTCAGTCTGGTCAGAATATGTCATGTATGTCTGTTGTTTACTAATCTCTTTTAGGTCAGTAAAGCTGGAAAAATCCTGAGCATCTTGGTTTGTAGAAAATACCAAAGTGAAAACTTTATATTGCTCTGTGCAGAGCAGCTGTATATAGTTTGATGGTGGCTTCAAATAATTGAAGCTGGTGCTTAGCAGTTTAAAATATTCCCCCAGCCTTATTTCAAAACAATGTATATGCCTGTTGCTCTTCAGAGCTGGCTGATAGCAGATGAGTCTTGTGTGAGCTGGATGCTATGTTGTACAGCAAGAGTGATGGAGATCTGCTGTGTGTTGGGCTGTAGAAGGCTTAGATCCTGCTGATAAGAAATGGCTATGCTGCAAGTTGCTGCTTAATGCTTGTCACTACAAACAAACTGCTTGTATTTCTGTGTTTTTTTCTGTCCCCCTTCAATGTTGGAGACTTCCTCCTCCTCCTTTAATAATCTCTCCTGTGCCTTGCTATTCCTGGGCTACTGCTTTGTGGATGTTGGCGGCTTCTTGTTGTGACAGGAGAATGTGTGTGTGTCCTGGGCCCAGGAGAATTGGTAGGTATTTTTTGTGCTCCTATTACCTGAGTAATAGAATTTTGGGGGTGGGGAATGGGTTAATGAGGGAGTGTATTAAATAAGCATTACTGTAGGGATCCTCTGGAATTGTTGGCTGTGAATTCTAGGAATTGTAGTCTAACATTTCTGGAGAACACCAAGTTTGAAAAGGCTGCTGTAAGTATTGTCTTTTTAATGCTTTTTTAAGCCTAAATTGGTATTCTAGTTTATACTCTTACAAATAAACTTCCCTTGGGTTTCAATTTAACAGAAGTGAGCTTCAATGTACAGTAAAAACAGATTCACACAGCACATTAAACAATAATGTAACTTGTTTAGTTTGGGCTTAAATGCATGAACTCAGTATGGTGCTTTCTAAAACATGTTTTATGATTTCATATGTGTGGACTTAGCCATTATGGTTTATTCAACTGATGATGGTTTAAAAAAAATTCTGACTTAGGATGTGTGTACCAAGCCGCTATACATGTGTTGAATATGGGTTGAATAAAGGTACTAATTGGTACAAATGCACTACTGACAAGCATCCCAAGTATCTAGAATATAATAATATAAACATGAGATAATAAATTATATTGTTACTACCTTCGTTCCTGTTTTTGGAATGCCTTCAGATGGGGTTAATTAATTTTAGTTTGCTTTAGTTATGGGCATAAATTGGGCGTGTCATTGACCCATTCCCCTTGCCTCCTCCCCCCAGCCCCAGTAGGGATCTTGTATCTGATACAGTGCTGAGTCTTTCTTTCATGTTTACCTGAAACTTATTATGTTGATCATGATAACCACGATAAGTGACTGTATGTGTATGTGTATGTATATATATATATATAT